CCCCCCCCGACCTCCATCTTCATTGTCTCATTCTGTCCCACTGCGTAGGGTTCAGACCCTCAACTCAATTCGGACTTTTCGAGGAGAAGTTTTCAAAGCTCAATTGCTGTACTCTAATTGATTGAAATGGCAGCAAAACTGGAGCAGTGAGCGGTATTCCTGTTGTTTTTGTTCCTGGAAATGCTGGTTCATCGCGACAAGTGCGTTCTCTGGGATCTGTGCTTCACAATAAGACGGAAAGCAGAAGGCTGCCGTTCACGTTCGACGTTTTCGCCGTCGACTTTAATGAGGTTCACCATCCTTTAATATCTCCGGAGAATGTGCGCAGCATTGCAGTGGGCTGTCAGCAGAATGAGCTGAAAGTTATAGGGGGTGCGTCTTCGGCTGCACACTAATAGTTTCTGTCAGCAGCGCTGTCAACGGGAGGCTGTTTTAGGAGTTATCCGGCCTCTCGGGCATGTATCTGGAGCGGCAAATCAAGTACCTCGGTGAGGCAGTGAGGCGCGTTAAGGCGTTGTACTCGTCGCCGCCTCCAGGCATCATATTTGTTGGCCATTCGATTGGTGGGATCGTTATTCGGTCGCTGTTGCTCGACGCCAGTTTTGACCCTGCTCAGATCGCATTCATCGTAACGCTGGGCACTCCACACAAACACCCACGTATGCTTTCGTCCTACGAGTTCTGCGTGCGCCTCAGAGGCGGCGTCGTTGCACCGTGCTCAATTCATTTCAGCGCTAGTGTTTGACTGGTATATGGAGTACATCTACAGTGCAATGCATGAGGCATGGAAGCGACGCAGGAATGAGCTCGTTCACCTGCTGGTCCTGTCTATTTCGGGTGGCTTGAAGGATCACTTAGTTCCTGAGCATTTGACTCTCGACGATGATGTGCAGCACGTTTCGACCACTGCTGTCGATGGCATTGAATTGGAGGCCGATCATTTGTGCATCGTCTGGTGTAATCAGTTGGTTAGGTCTGTTATCTAAATTCGCAAAATAAAAAACACTCAGTTGGCGGCTCTACTTTCAGCGCTCTCAGTGCGGCAATCATATTTTCGGATCACTGCTAGATTTCCGATTTCATTTTTGTCCCGCTTGTTAGCAATTCCTAAATTCGCAAAACTTAAAAAGAAATTTAGAAATGTTTGGAATTATCATCCAGCAAACGTCCTGTCCTTGATGCCGAGAGCCAGTACCGCGTCATTCTTTTCTAAGTGAAAAAGGAATTAAAAAATTTGGTAGAGTGCGATTGTTTTGTTTTTGATTGCGCATTTGTGCGTAACGAAGGCGAACATTTAGACGTATTTCACGGCTGATGGTCGCATATGCAACGGATCCGAGCTCATTTCATACAAATGCTAAGAGCTTTGTGCAGCAGCTGTTTGATGCAGATGGAGTGATACGGAACCCAACGCATACAGCAGTCCGCAAGAAAACAGTGCTCGTCGTCCGACATGAACCGATTTCTGTGGGTTGAATTTTGCACTCGTCTTGTGATTCACTGATTGATTTTTTTGGTGATAATGCTCCTGGATATTTATTTTTTCTGTTTTTGCAACATCTTTTCTGCAGTAGTAATTTGCGATTTATTGTGCAGCATTATTTTTGTTTGAATGCCCGAAACTGGCCTTTGGCCCAACCTTATACTCAAGATTTGTAAAAGTTTGGTTAAATTTAAAGCAGTCAAATGCGGCGGGTTTTTTTTAGTTGGGTAGGTCTGTAGGAGGGTCATATAGGCGGATTTTGGAAGTTCGTGAAATTGAAACGGCTCTCTGCGAAATATCTACCTTGCCTTGGAAGGTTTCGTTTATTTTTTTTCATTTTTTTACCGGGGATTGCTTGAAGACAAATCGAGAAATGCAGGCGTATCAGCTGCGCTGGTATCAATTTACCGTGGAAATGATTTGCAGAGGAATTAATTTTCACACCAGCGGATTTGACGACTGGAGATCGAGATTGGATAGCATTTGTTGTTTACACCGCGATCATTATTTGTCACCTCTGCATCGTTGAAAATTCCCCCAAATCCAAAATTTTCATTTAATGTTTCGTAAGCTTAACGCCTTGTTCAGGTGAGGAACGATAAGAAAGACGCAAAAGAGTTTATTTTATTGGTTTCACGTGGCAGTTGGTTATTTATTGTACGCAGCGCTGGGACTTCACTGTGGACATTGTCTGGAGATCCAGTGTATTCTCTGAACACCTGGCGAGGAGCGTTTTATACGCTTGTTCATTCAGGCAATTCAACAGGGTTTTCACTTTACGTCGAACCGAAGAAGTCTTTCCAAGCAGTCGTTCTTAATGAGAATCGAACAGAGTTAAGTATTTTCAGTGGAAATCCAGAACAGTGTTTTTTACAAGACAAAGAAATGCCGGAGCATAGTGCAGTATGTTTGTTGCAGACCAAATTGCATTCATTAAATTTTGAAACCGATCGCGACTTGTATATAATACGAAGATGATATGTATAATACGAAATAGGCTTGAATTCAAGACTATGTATTTTAGGCTGTGCATGTTGGAATGTATTCGCTTTTGAAGGGTTGTTTTAAGCCGTTGTGGCGGGTAGATTTTAGCGGGCATCAGTCAGCTGTTATGCTTCCGATCACTTTTGCATCGCCAGCTATTGCTGTTCTCATATCGCTTGAAACGGTTTCCTGCGTCAGTGCAAAAAGTTGGTTTTACGGCATACTTTTTTCAATTCATTGTAAAAAACAGCATTTTTTTTTTATCTCAGTGTGCACTGTTTTTTATGCTTCGCAGAATATTTCGAGTTTTTAGCAGATCCGTTTGCAAAAATTGAATTCCGCAGCCGGGATTTACGGCGTATGAGCAGTCTTGGCGATGCTAAGGAAGTTACTCTTGTGGGACATTTGCTTCATAAAGAGGAAACAAGGGCAGACACTTTCTTCATACTGGACCCGCGTTGCCGCTTCCGTGCTCATCTTGATATCGGTTATGTGGATTCCTTAATTGTGGTATGTTATTACCACCTACTGTATAATAAATCATAGGTAGATGTATCTCGGGAGGCTGAGTCATTTCCACAGCGGTGTTGTTGTAGCTTAGATTATTTGTAGCTTCTTTTTCTCGGCTTTGTCGATTTGCGGCCGTAGTTCGATCCAGAAGACAAGGAAGATGCCGGGATCCTTTTTTAGCTTTTCCTCATCCCATGCCGCAACGCATAGCGTCTAGCGCATAGTTAATTGATTTGTTATTTTCTGTTGATCAGGTTGACAATGACCGGTACTGCCTAGGCCTATGTAACCTTGTGGCTTTAGCAGCATGCTTGAAGCTGACAGAATTTGCCTTTCCTCACTTAACAGTGCCTAGTGTTTATCATCTCTAAATTGCAGTGAGGTGCTTGGATCTGAATTCTGCAGAGTTTAAATGATTGGCCAACGCACGGGCTGCCCGTGCGAAGATGTGTTTTTTGCACAGTTCCCCACAAGTTTTTTTCGCTAACGGCACTGTTTTTTCGGCAGATGCCTTTAGCTAAAGGAATTTCAGACTGGCCCGCCAGGACTGCCAGGAAACATCCCTTCAAAATTCCAGTCTTCTGGCTTCTCAGGTCCCCGAGCTAGCAACTTACCCGAAAAAAACTTTCACGGGCCTGTACGTGGGTACCACGCTTACCCGAGGGCTGGTTTGAGCTGATTAATACCTATTTGGACGGGAATATTCCTTTAAAATTTCAGTTTTCTAGCTTCTCAGGTTCCCGAGCTAGCTTACCCGAAAAAACTTTCCCGGGCCCGTATGTGGGTATTACGCATACGGGGCTGGGTTTGAACTCTTTAATACCTACTTGGACGAGGAACATTCCTTCTAAATCCCAGCCTTCTAGCTTCTCAGGTTCCCAAGTTATCAAATTACCTGAATAAAAATTTCACGGGCCCGTATGTGTGTGCCACGCATACCCGAGGGCTGCATTTGAGCTCGTTAATACCTTCCTGGACGGAGAACGTCCCCTTAAAATTTCAGCTTCCCAGCATTTCTGGTTCCCGAGTTAGTAGCTTGCCCGTAAAAAACTTTGGTAGGTTCGTATGTAGATACCTCGCGGGTAAGGGCACCCATTTCGAGTATTGGGACCCGAACCTGCGTGTAGATTAAGTTCCCAAAGTTTCAGCCCTGTAGCTTTTATAAGTCTTGAGATGAAAAATCGGCACAGACACACACACACATACACATACAGACACACAAACACACAGACAGCCCCTCGTCAATATGCATTTTTATGCGTTTTGTGCTGTATAACAGCAGTACAAAACGCATATTGTTACGGGGTTGTCTGTGTG